TAAGTGGATAGCCAATGTGTAGCCCAGTTCAAAAGCGGGTTGATATTACACTGTGACCTTGTGTTTATTCGCCAGTGCTCTGGGGGCCTTACCGAAAATTAACGCAGGGGATTCTTTTTCCGGATAAAATCATCGCAATCCATTGACACCTACTTTGCAGCACACGAGGCTGGGCCTGAGCTGTCTCTACGAATGATTCATAGAGCGGAAAGAATATACCCGAAGAGACACGAAGGGATCAAATATTGTTCTGATTATCTTGCTCCCTATGTCAATACCAATTCAACATTGACTTCAAATCAGCTGGAACGATGATCAATGCGAGGTTGTATTTAAAGGGATCATTCTTTGGCGTCCTACAGGCCTAACAACAGGGTCCCACTGATTTAAGTTCTTGTCGGTTTTTGTTCGACAATTGCCTTGACGTTCACATTTCAAACATGACACATCGGTCCAGTTTCGCAAACGAAGCAGAAGCAACCAGATGTTCAGGTGTTAGCATGGAATTATTAGCTCAAGCCAATTCAAGCCAATGCAGTGAAACTATTGAACACATTGTGCTGCAGCTTGACGCATCGCTACCGCAGCCTTGACGCACCGCTGCTGCATCTGTGCCGCATCACTGCCGCAGGGTTGACACATCACTGCCGCATTGTTGACACATTGTTGACGCATCCCTGCCGCATCGTCGACGCACCCCTACCGCATTTTGACGCATCCACCCCAAGTTCAACCGTGCATCTGAGGCCATCAAAGGGTCATTTTAATCCATATACCAGTGTTGCAAACACTTTAAACGCTAATAAAAGACTGGAAGGTACCTTAGCATATAAAATGAGGTTGTACTTCGTTCAAATTTAGGGAATTTGGAGGATTGAAGTGTTGCATTGCGCTTTTATCTTCTTCTGGCACAATATGGCGCTGTTTAGTCTTAATCTGAGTATCACAAACAGCGAATTACAAGGGCGGGAACGCGATGCGTCAATGGTGCGTCAGTGGTGCGTCAGTGATGCGTCAATTTGCGGCATTTTCTCCGGGCCCATGCGTGACCACCCCTTCTCACGAGCTGGTCGCGCTACGCATGCCTCGCTGCGTGCGGACGAAATATGCAGATGCGCCAGGATAGAACTGATTGTGCATGGGAGAAGGGAGAGAGATACAACGAGGGGAGCGGTAACGGACGAATACAAAGAGGAAGGAACGAGGGGAAAAGGAACGCACATGAGCCAGGGCCGTCACGCTGGACGACTTGGTTGCGGATTCGGGGATGAAGGCGCCATTCGTCCCCGTCTCGACCCACACCTCCGCTTGTGCACATGAGATAATACTCTTGAATGGGATCCCACTAATGCTGAGTGCGTTGACCGTGACGAGGCTGGATCTGCCAGTAAAAGAGGGGGGTTAGCATTGGAGGAGGAGTTGGTGATATCCAAGATTAAAACAGGATACATCCGCGGAGGGACGGTGGCGAAATCGAGGACACGGGGTAGTGATGGATGAACGAAATGCACCTAGCCTAAACCTTCCAATCCTCAGCGCAAGTTCAGCCTCCTTCAAATCCCTCGCGAAGGAGTCGAAGCCCAGCGAGCGGCGCGAGGCGGACGCGGTGGGTGAGGGACCGATTAGTGCGGGGGTTGGGGCGATGCCAAGACGGGATTAGTGCGGGGGTGGTGACGGCGCCGACTGGTGGGAGCGGGAACGCGACCGAGACCACAAGTTGCACCGATTATTGGATTCGGAGGGAGATGGACCGAACAGAGATTGCGGCGCCTGTGCCTGCGCTTGCGCTTGAGTTGCGATTGAGAAGAGGCGCCTGGTGGAGACGCAGCCGGGGACAGTTCCCTCGCCGCAGCGACGACGGAAACGTCCGGCCGAGGCAGGGTGGCGCGGGGAGGACCCATCTCCAGGGCGTCGTTTGTCTGGAGAAGGGCAAGAGATTCAGAAGGGAGGCCACTGTGACACGGCGGGGATCGGATGCAACGGGGGAGGGGGAAGAAGAACGAGAAGAGCACTCAGCGAACACATTTGGCCGGTACTCGCCCGTCCCATCACCCATTCGTGATCCCGGGCCTCATCGCAGATCGTTCTCGAGTGCGCCGTCGCGTTCAGGGTGCAGAAATTCGATCAGCGAGTGTCAGTATAAGCGAAAACTGGAGATTCTGGCACACCTTTAGCAGCTATTGACGAATGAATAGTTCTTCCACAAAAAACACATCAGTACGCACTCACAGCCACATGGCATTCAGGCCACAGCGCGAAATCGCACTGCGGGATGCATATGCGGCTTGAAGGGCCCTCTCACACTTCCGGCGCTGCTGATAGGGTAGGGAGGTCCAAATTGGGTCCAAAAGCTAGAAAGGCTCGAGCTGGACATGGTGGGAGGATAACTCTAACATCCAAGAATCGTTCAGGCCTGGTCAGCAGCCGACGGGAGGTGATATGCATGTTGGACGACTCGGATACCGAAGATACCGGTTACTTATGACTCTCATGACAATCGTGATTCGGGCGGTTCCGGGCCGTAATTGGGTGCAATATGGGAGAGGAGGGCAGTTGAACAAGGGCTGAGCCAAAAGAAGGCAAAAATTCGAATGGCCCCGAACTTGCAAAAGTTTGCAAAGTGGCGGCGTTGTTGCGAGCGCTTACAAGAGCAGTTGTTTGTTTATGATTGTATTGCAACGGTCTTATAACGTCATCCTCTTATAAGATTAAAAATAAATTTCCGACATACTTGCCTAATACCAGTTTTTTTGTCAGAGCTCGCATTCCGAGCATAAGTAGTGGATGTTTTCTCCAGATCTGGATCTGGCTGTCCAGCTCTCTTCTCCGCATTCATTTCCACGACGCAATTCTTCATCTGTGGTTCAACAGCTTTCATTCCCAACTGAGTTTACTTATCGCTTGCCTGTCACTGGTGCTTCAAGTTCGACTCCCTAGCGCATGAATTCCTCCCTCATTTTAGCCCTATCCCCGACCCTAAATTCAACTTGTTTGGATCAGGTACGCAATCTATCATTGTCGAGAGGCAAGCATCTCGGACTTGAACAACAAGATTGCTCGCCTGCTTATCGTCTCAAATTCAATAAAGAACAGAAAAAAATGCTGTTCACCACCGATAGTGCGGGCGCCGGGAGTCGAACCCGGAAAGACTGCTTTTGTATCAGCAATTGCATCTACGAAACACAGCCGTGCACCCCGCACCACACCCGCTCCAGATCCTTACTTTGAAGACGACCAAATGTAGTGCTATTCAGAACAAGGACCCTTCTCTTCAATTTCAACCCATGTTTATATTGAACATATCTCACCATCTCCTTTGGTTCAAAAAGTCACCAGTGACTAGCCATCTTGTCTCCTTGAAAAGATCACTGTCAATCGTGTATCTTAGCCTTGAACAGATTCTGAATCCCCCAGGGACCAAGTCGGGGAAAAAAAAGCCGGAAGGCTTAAGGCAGGCGGGCGCCGGGAGTCGAACCCGGAGAGGCTGCTTGTAGTTTCGTGACACTTGCTTATGGAAAGCAACTGTGCACCGTGCACGACACCCGCATATTCCCTCACCTGTAACGATTACTGAGTGTTAGAGTTTCCAATGCAGTTCATTTCACATTTCTACGCATACAATAATGGGCAAAAAGTTGAACCGCACGATCGTTTATTTTCCCCACTGCATATTACATCTCTTGAGCATTCATTCGAACCACATTCACTGCATCCCATGGGCACTCGTTCAAACCAGATGTTGTGCAAATCAACTAGACGGGAAATAAAGGCGTTCAAAATGAACCGAAAAGAAGAGAAAATATCAGCTCGACATCTCAGTATGCGGACGCCAGGGGTCGAACCCGGAAGACTGCTGCATATTGAATCAAATTCCATTAAAGGCAGCTGTGCACCGTGCACAACACCCGCTTGACCTCCTCTTTGCAACCTTCAGTAAGTGGCAGAGTCCGACTTGCCAGAACAGTATTTGAATCCCTGTCGCTCTCAAATTTAATTCAATCTTCAAGTTCAATTTTGTGTGGAATTGAACTTTCCCAGAGTTTAATTGCACTGCTCCAACGAGTCGGTGCTGGACTAGGTAGTTCTCAATGGCGCCCCGGCGTGGGGTTGCGATCATCAACTGAAGAACAAATAAGAAAAAAAGGAGCAACAAACTGATAGGACAGGAACCTATGTGGGTGCCGGGACTCGAACCCGGAAAGAACTGCCAAGTTTGCAAGGCCATCTGGGTCAAATGAATCGCAGCTGTGCATCATGCACAACACCCACTCGAGATCCCGACGTTGAAGACGACCAAATGCAATGCAACTCAGTACAGGGATCCTTCGAATGGATCCTCTCGGTCCCCTGATTCACAAATTCACGATTCCTCTCGGTCTCAGCGATCCTTTCATGCGTTGAATAGGTTTTGAATCCAACCAGCTCGAAAAAGAGGGCCGGAAGACTTGGGCTAAGCGGGCGCCGGGAGTTGAACCCGATCAACTGCTTGCTTTGGGAATATTCAGCAACACCCACACTGGAGGCAGCTGTGTCCCACAGCACACCCGCGTATATTCCTACTCAAGAATCAGGGCAAGTGTGGCAATCTTGCGTATATCGTTGTACCCACAGCCCTTCCCTCCGAAACAAAAAACCAACCACGAGTATGAATTTAGAAATTCCCGAAAGCTTACATGGAGGCAAGGTTTGAAAGTTTAGACGCGAGAGAGAGAGAAAAAATGTTCACCGAGAAGGAAGAAGATAGATCAGGTTCATGAGGAATATACATCCCTCTTCGAAGACCTAAGCAAGTGGAGCAATTTTGCATACTTGCAACCAGACCTCTCCCTAGGCTTCATTCCCCACTTCAAAAGGTATGAATTTACCATTTCCCGAAAGCCTAACAGTTTACATGGAAGCAAGTCCCAAAAACGTAGAAGCCAGAACCAAAAACATGATTCATACCCCAAAGCCGAGGGGAATTTCCCGGACGCAAGGGAAAAAAGACGACCGACTTCACATGTGGGCGCCGGGAATCGAACCCGGTTGGCTGCTTGTGTTCGAAAGTTTGATCAACACTGGAAGCAGCTGTATCCCACACCACACCCGCACATATTACCTCTCATCAACCTCAGTAAGTGTAGAAATTTGCCTACCTGCAACGAAACCTTTCCTTCCCTCCCCAACCAAAACCCAAGAAATTTCGGATGAGCTTCGATAGAAGCAAGGCTCTCGAAGAGAGGGAAACAGTTCACAGGCACAGAAACGAGGGAAAGAAATTGCTTGACAAGACCAAAAAGACTTCTTCGATTTACCACGCTACACATGAACCTGGGTAAGTGTAGCAATTTTCGTGCGTACCTGCTAGTGATGTGCCGGGCTCGGGCTCCAGCCCCAGCCCGGCCCGAGCCCGAGGCTTTTGGGCCCGGCCCAAGCAAGGGCCCATCAGGGCTCAAGGCCGGGCACAGATTTTGTCAGAGCCCCGGCATTGGGCTCAAGCCTGGGCTTTTGTGGATACAATTTTGGTCACTAGAAGATTTTTTTCAGGATGCTTTTGAACCCATAAAATCTGGTTGCAACGTGAGTGGTACCTCAACATTCAGATAAACTACTCCGTTCAGGGGGTAGTGGATGAACATCGTATTTTGGTGAGGTAATGTGGCTTTGGCTCACTAAAGCACGGGAATATATCAATGTCAGGCAGTGAAAGAAATCCTTGAGGCAACTAGGGAGTAGGGAAGGACTTCCTTTACATGTTTTTCACCCCTCCCTCCAAGGGGGTTTGAAAATGCGAAAATTACAACATACCTTCCATTTTTTTTTTCGGAGGGTTGGCAACCCCTCCCTCCCTCTTAGCCGAGCGGGCCGAGCCTGGCCGAGCGTAGCCGAGTGATATTCCCACGATCTAACGTGTGAATCTCAGCTTTCGGCCATCAAATTGCCATTCTTGTGCCAACTAATTCTGCCGGCACAATTTGGGCACAATGCACAAATTTTTCCTTCATCCATCCGAAACGACTTCAGAGTAGGTGGGAGATTCTGGCATGAATAATCTTGTTCCCAACAAGAAGCTGGCACATACTTGAGACTCACCAAAGGTCTGAAGCACCTTCCGATCACGAATGAAAGTGGCGGAAGCTGTAGTAAGTAAGTAGTCCATTAGGAAGATACCTGACTCAACAATTCGGGAAATGTTGAAACAATGTCCGAAATTTCTTTCAAAGTGTTTTCTTCGTAAATTTGGGCCACAGAATCGACTTTTCAAAAATGGTACCAAAAATTATTTTCAGGCCCTCACCGACCCCTCCCTCCCTCAACCCCATAAGGAAATTGCTTATCTTCGAAGCCCCTTGCCTCCCTCACACCAATGCAGATGTTGTGGAAAAAAAGTTGAAAGCCCGGGCCCGAGCCCTAAGCCCGACCCCTACAGGAGGGCCGGGCTCAGGATTTTCCGGAGCCCAAGCCCTGGAAAGCCCGGCCCAGCCCGAGGCTTTCAAGCCCGGCCCGGCCCGAACAACACTACCCAGCGCAATTATTTTTCTGCGGCTCAAGCAACAGCTTTCATATTGTCAACTGGAATTATTGCTAGCCTGGCAATGAGCACCCGATTCAACACACTCGCGTGTCCGTAGCGTATCCCACCTGCCCTGATTCAAATTGGCGCGTGCTGGTGCGTACATGGATTAGCATGCCGCGTGTCGGGTCTGCCTCGTTGAGCCTTCGCTCTAAATCCCAGCATGGATACAGTACAGTATGGAATACCAGCCGTCAATACCTCGCTCCTTTTATTCACACACTTATCTGCCGCCCCGTTTCAATGCGCGTCATCTTAAATTCATTCATGCCGCAACCATGCAACAGACATATTCTTTCACTTTACAAGGGTTGCACTTGGTAAGGGTTGTTGACTCTTCCATCGGTACTCCGAATAACTCGACACTTGTCATATCTCGAAGCAAACGAGATTGACTGAGCCTCGCACATGTATATTATGTATCTCAAACAATAAAGCAACAAAAAAATTGAACGCTCGTGACATACAACGCGGGCGCCGGGATTCGAACCCGGAAACGATGCTCAAGGAGTATCCTGGATTCTTTCATACACCGGCCAAGGAAGGCAGCTGTGCACCGCGCACGACACCCGTTTACTTTCTTACTTTCAACCTTGAACAAGTGACGGACTTTCTGCACCTCGAGGCTTTCACAGTCTTCAACCAACCGACGAGAAAACATACAGTCGTTTGAACCACATCTCTTGAGTACCACTCCATTCTACTCCAAACCGCCCCACGAGATTAAAACGGACCTCCTTGCAAGATCTGATACGATAAATATTAAATTGAACCGATTCTCAGGCTCCGGTAGAATTCCTCCGATTCACAAATCCACCATGCATCTACTCCGCCTCTACCTCGAGTAGACTCTGAACAGAAAAAAAAGCGGTCCTTGAACTTGTGGCAAAAGAGACCTATGCGGGCGCCGGGAGTCGAACCCGGAGAAGCTGCTTCTACCTCTTGGTGCGATGGAATAGAGCGCAGCCGTACACTGTGGACAACGCCCGCTTACTTTCTTACTTTCAACCTTGAGTGAGTGACGGAATTTTAGCACCCTCTCTCACAGAGTCTTCGAGTCTTGACGAACAAAGTTGGGGTGGGAATTAATTTAAGAAGGTAATTGATCTGAACCACGTCTGACTTTTCAAGCGATGAGGAAACACTGTACATACTTCCATACTTTTGGACCACATCTATCTTGGTCTTTAGACTATCCGCAACGGATTCGCCAATTCCTCCGGTTCACATATGCATATCCCAACTCGCAGCTCATCTCCTCGTTGACACAGTTAATTCATGGAGGAACCAATTGGCAAAAAGGAAAAAAGAAAAGCAAATACTCCTGGAACACCATCCATGCAGGCGCCGGGAGTCGAACCCGAAAAGGCTGCTTGCATCTGGTAATTCAGTATAATGACGGCCAGCTGTGCACCGCGCACGATGCCCGCTTGCTTCAACCGTTCTTCAGTGACAGACTATCTTTGAGTACTGCCGACTTTCTTATGTACTTGCGTAATGTCTTTGTACTACGAGACCTTTCAGGCATCATATCCCATTTCAAGAATTCGGCATCCGGCCACACTTTTGCAGTCCGCGAATTTGACGACCGAACAGCTTCTGTTCAACATTGTCTGATTTGAAATCAATCTCCTCTCAAACTTCTCGGTGAAACTGGAGGGGACCAAAAACTAACTGGAATTAAAAGGACAGAATTTTATCTCGTTGAAATTTTCCATAAGAGCGACGGCACTACTTACTGTCTCCCTTCTCCCCCTCCCGCCCTCTGTCCTTTTCCCGTTGCCTTTCCCCGTTGTCTGTTCAATTTGAATATCTCCAAGGGTCAAAATAAGAACAACCCAAGTCTCGAAAACGATCCAGTCACAACGACAAAAAAGCTGAACAAGACTATTTGGAAATGCGGATGCCGGGAGTCGAACTCCGTTGGCTACTTGCTTTGAAAATATTGAAGCTAACTGGAGGCAGCTGTGTACCACACCACACCCGCGTATATTGCTACACATAAGCCCAATGTAACCCTCCAACCAACTTTCCTTCCCTTTCTAAAGCGGAAACCCTACCACGAGTAAGAATTTAGAGATTCCCGAAAGGCAGGCCACAAAAGCTTAGAATAAAGAGGAAGGAAGGAAGGAAGGAAGTAAATTAACCGCGGTGGTCCCGTTGAGGAAACGTGCGGGTACTATACTACGTACATGAGCCTAATGTACGCTATAGTCAGCGAGAAGTCATTCTAAGGCAGAGAATTTCAACCCAACCATACTGTAGAATCCCAACCACGAAGTGAGGATTTAAAAAATCCCGAAAAGCTTACATGGAGGCAAGTCCCGAAAACCCCCGAAGGATTAACTGAATGAAAAACTGGTTCATAGCCAGAAGGAAGGCAAAGAATTGTATTGCTTGAGGCAAGGGGGAAAAAGGCGGAGGCCTCCGACGCGTGCGGACGCCGGGAGTCGAACCCAGTTGGCTGTTGGCAGTAAATGATGCTTATGATGAGATGCAGCTGTGTCCCACACCAAGCCCGCATATATTCCATCTCATGAGCCTAGGCAAGTGTATCAATCTCTGTATGTACTTCCACCAAAGCAGCCATTCCTTCACTCAAAAACCCAACCACGAATAAGAATACAGGAATTCCCGAAAAGACAGCTTCGAAGAAAGAACCAAAAAACTGGGTCGTAACCATTCCTGCAAGCAAGGCGAAAAACACTCGACGACGAATCTATGCGGGCGCCGGGAGTCGAACCCTTTGGCTGCAGACCTGATACTTCAAATATGTAACTCGAGGCAGCTGTGTCCACACGACGCCAACGTATGTTCCTACTCGTGAACCTGGTAAGCTGGGAAGTATTCAGTCGACTCCGATAATCCGATTCCAATTAGATTCCAGCGTCGATGAAAGACTGGCAGGGTGGAAGAAATTGCGTTCGCATTCATGCACGGAAACTATCAATCCGCACGTATGGGAAGTGTACAGTACAGTACTACAAATCCTACATACCATACAGAACGATTTCAGATGCATCGACAGGAAAAGAAGAAAATGGAAGAATGAAGAGGGAGACCGTTAAGAGGGAAGTAGGAAGAGTGTAAAGCATCGGAAGTAGGGAAAGCGCCGGAGGTTGGAAGAACGCTAAGCAAAGCCAGGGAATTCGTCAGTTTGTCTGAAGCACCCAGGAAGGCAAGCAGTCGACGCAGATCTTTGCAGCCCAAGTCACGAAGCTCCAGGGGTTCATCGGCAACGTCACATGCGGACCGGCGAGCGAGTCCAGTACAGCACATGAAATGTTAATATCACGGTACCGGAATTGTCGCATTCACAAGCAGAGAATTCGGAAGTCGGACCATTGCGGCAAGATATTCGAGTTTGGAATTTTGAGATCGTCGCGGGTATCCAGAGAAAGCGTCCGAGATTCTGCAAAATTAGTAAGTGCTGTAGGGAGAGAACGAACCAGCTCAGCGGGAGCGGGAAGAACGCCAGTTAGAAACCTGCATAGTATGCCCGAATGCAATAAAAGAGTGAACACGCACCCAGGTCTCCGCTTGATGCAAGATTCCGATGCGCGGGATGACCGTGCTCTTGAACGTGATCGCGATCGTGAACCCACCGGTGCGAAGCACATTGACCGCGGTGACGCGAAGCCGAGGCCGGATCTGTGTCTGTGGCAAAAAAAGGAGGGGTTAGCGCAGGTCGAGAAGGCATGGAGAATAAGATTAAAGCATACAAGAAATAATCAAGGAACACGAGGATGAGATGAGAAGTACAATCGGCGAGAGAACGTCAAGAAATCAGGGGATCGTGCGGCGTATGACCTATATACTGTCTGCCTCGCGACGAGTCCAGGGGCGGCGATGGCGTCGGCTGGTATGATGCGATAATGACCAACGCAGGAGCGGATCCGGAGAAGTAGCGCGAGGGGGAGGTACAGGGATGGAATACTCAGGTTTACGCGGGGTGTGAGGCAGAATTTGAAGGACCGAATGCGAGTCCCGGAGACAGTGGCGCGATTGCGAAAGGCGCCCTGGAGATCCGAGACGCAGCCAGGGACAGCTATCTCGCCGCAGCGACGATGTCGATGTGAGACTGAGACGAGTTGCGGGGGCTGCCATGGCCGAGGAAGGAGCCGAGTGCGGGGCGGCGGGGAGTCCGTCCCCAGCGCGTTGTCACGACGTTTAGCGGGAAGAATGGAGAGGTCACGAGGTGACAGGGCGTGAGAACCACTTTGTTCTTTTGTTCTTCCGAGTCTTCAGTCATTTCTTTGGGCCTGCTACGGAAGACGATTCGTGTATAACCCTTTACTGAAGCCTGGCGCTGGGACTGGCAACACCCACGGAGGTGTGGGTCTACGCATCGACATCAACTTGACATCAACGCCCTTTCAGCGATGCCACTTCCGTCTTCTGGCCGTGGGGCACACCCGTTGCTCTTTCCCGACGTTTCAACTATTCCTCTCGCTATTCTGGAGCGGATTTCTTTTCTACGGCTTTAAATAAAATCCCGGCTTCGCCCTGGACATGTACTCCTCCACAGCTTTCTACAGCATTGATTCCCAACTGGTGCTTACTTCGACTCATGTATCCGCCCAGACGATTCGCGCATGCATCGCTCTAGCTATAGTCAATCTTGAACTTCGAGCACGGATACCAGCCCGCAAATACCTTGCTTAAGGCGGGCGCCGGGAGTCGAACCCGGAAAAGCTGCTCGCATTTCGCAAGATTGCAATGAAAGGCAGCTGTGCACCTCGCACGACACCCGCTTGGATTCGTAGTTTCGAAAGTGGATAGATATCAGATACATGTACCAGTCATTTTTCAACCACATCAAACTTGACCACAATGTTCCGACTTCTGCCGGGGTTCTACCCACACACACTGCGTCCTTCTGTCATACATTACTTGGACTTCTTGTGCCCATACTTCTTGAGCCTCTCTTCCTTAAATAAAATACATTCCTGCTCGGTTCGTTTTCACTTCGCTGCTCCTGCTGTTTTCCAAAACGTACGGCGAGTTCTAATGCGGGTGCTGGGAGTCGAACCCAGTAAAGGCTGTTTGCAATTTCAAATGATAGTATCCCACCAAAGGAAGCAGCTGTGCACCGCGCACGACACCCGCTTGGACTGGTAGTTTCAGAGCTGTATACGTACTAGAACTCGGAGCCTCAAGTTTCAACTCAGCCGCATTCAAATCCAGGTTTTAATCAGCCGTATCCGAATCAATCAAGCCTGCTCCGACATATCTTCATTATGAATGTGTCTGCATCGTAAGGCCAGGATTGAAAGTCGACTTTCTCCTAGAAAGCTAGCAACGCTGAGCGTGTTCACGAAATTCAACGGGTCCAAGGAAAAAAGAGAAAAAGGCAGAAGAAAAGCACATCCTCAGCGGGCGTCGGGAGTCGAACCCGGAAAGGACTACTTGCCTGCAAACCAATGGTCTATGAAGGGCAGCTGTGCAACCTGCACCACACCCGCTTATATCCTGAATTTCAAACTTCCTCAAATGCTTTCAGTGCTCTCTTCAGCGGAGTTAATTCAGAATTCAGCAGATTGCGGAAACTTATAAGTTGGTGAGTAAAGAAACATGTGAGCAAGTAATGCAACCACATCTCTCGAGCATTCCATCCATCCATTCGCCTTCGACCTGGACTTGGATCCTGGCAATCAAATTTGAGGCAAAAAAACAGAACAAAAACGATGGAGACACGCGGAGATGCTGGCGTCGGGAGTCGAACCCGGAGGGACTGCTTGGGAACTTCCGACGCATCATACTTATGGAAGGCAGCTATGCACCGCGCACGACGCCCGCGTTGTTTCTTGCGGGGCGAGTCCATTTCGTTGGGATTCGGCGACCGGCACGAAGCCAAGTGTGCCGGCGGCAAGAATTGATGGATTCCCACGGTTCGATTTCACTCGAGAGACTTGGCAAACGGTAAACTCAGCACTCTGTCCACGACAATGTATGCCGGCGATTCACCACGTCGCTGGACACGTTTGCCGGTCTCGTTAATGACATCTATGTTACGTATTCACCTATATTCCTCCTCATAAGCTTGCCAAGTTGCGCTCTGTTCATCAATATTAGACTCAAATAATGATTCCAATCATATTCCAGAACCGTGTCGAGTGCTATTCTAAGTAGTATATACGTACAGTATCCCTCTAGGTGTCGTTTCTCAACACACTTATAGAATCTGTCAAACATTAACCGTTTAGAAAAAGAATGTCCATGCTCGCTGGTACTTCGGATTTAACGCCGATGAAGAACCGCCACGGTTCGTGAAATGGCGATCACATTCACGAAGGAAAAAATCTCCTCAATTTTGATTTATACAGCCGCCGGGAGTCGAACCCGATTGCCTGTTTGTGTTGGCAATTTTGCAGGATTTCCTGTAGGCCACTGTATCCCACACCACGCCCGCGTATATTCGTACTCAAAAACAGAGGTAAGTGTAGCAACTTTGCATACGTACGTACGTACCTACAACAAAACCTTGACTTCATTTTTGGCCGGCTGTGTATTCCTCCTCCTGAACCTGGCCAAGTGTCGGAATTTTTCGTTGTACCTCCAAACCACAACAAAAAGCGGACAACCATAAGTAGGAATTCAAGAAGTCACGAAAAGCTTACACACGGAGGTGAGTTCGAGAGATCTGAAGGAAGAGAGAGAGAGAGAAAAGGTTAGTCGGAGGCTTAAAAACAAGGCGGAGAAATTTCTGGAACCAAGCGAAAAAAGGGCTGAACAACGTCGGATGCGGGCGCCGGGAGTCGAACCCGGTCGGCTGCTTGCAATTCCGGTGCAGGTTTTATGTGGTATTAGAGGTAGCTGTGTCCCACACCACACCCGCGTAGATTCCTCCTCAGAAACCTGCACACCGGGGACGTTCTAGGTCGCTCAACCTCGCGCACTCGTACGAAGACCTCGCCCTCTCAAATACACCAACCCAGACGAATCGGTACCCCGGTCCAAATAGAGCTGTGTACCATCTGGTACCTGCAGACAACCCATCGACCAACAGCCAGCTAGAGAGGCTTGTCGGAATGGTGCAAACACTTTTGCAGGACAATCAAGAGCTCAAACAGACCACTCGTGAACTCAAGGAAGACAATCAAGAACTCAAGGAGCGCGTGGCGTCTCTCGAAGCTGGTGCCCCCGGTGCAGCACGCCCATCCTCTCGAGGCTTTATCGCTCGACGCGGCAAGGCCACTCGTCCCAACGCGGGGGGGGCGTAATCCTGGCCGTATCGCTGTCGACGATTCCACTGACTCTGGTGAGGAGATTGATCCATTGTTGCTCAATGCAGCTGGCGCCAGCGAGTCTTCTATGGACACGGACACCGGCTTGACAGATTACGGGCCGGCGAACGATACGGGAGGAACAGACGATATAGATCTTTCGCCAAAGGAAAGATCGAGCGTACAAGTAGGATCTCCCTTTCAATTTGACTCTAAATCTTCTCTCTAATTCCGACGACAGGCGTTTGTGACGAAGGAGTTCCGCCACCATTGTCACGTAGGCGGAAATGACTGGCCAGACCCAACCCTCATTCGCACCAATCCCATCACCCGCGAGACATACCCGACACCGTTCTTCCAGTACGAGGTTTCAGACCTCCGGAATGCCCAAATTATTCGTGATGTCGCCTATATGGCGGAATTCGTTTTGAAGGTGAGTTTCCCGGCGAAATATTGTACACCGATTCTCAGATTTCATCAGGACATCTGGCCGACGGTATTGAAACGCTCCAAGTCAACGCAGATGCCCAATTGGGACCAAGAGTTTTTCGTCGAAATGGCGAAGAAGTCGTTTCGATCGCTGAAGAGAGGTTGGCTTCGCGAGCACAACTCCGAAACCGCGCTGAGAGCGCAGATCAATGCTCGAACCCATCGCCGTAGTCAGCGGCGCGTTCACGTACGTCCTTGACGTTTTTTCTGTTTTGCATGCCACATTCATTCTCGCCGCGTGACAGAAATCAGAACAACTGTTAAAGGTTCTGCTTCGGTTTGCGGAAGAATATCATATCGATCTTCAGTTCTTGAAGGATATCGTACATCCCGAATACCTCTCGGACGAGATGTCTGGCCCCGAGGATGAAACACGAGAGGCGAAGGCGGCTTGGAAGGTTAGGTTGGCTGCCGAAATGGGTATTTCTCTTTCTCCGGACGTTTTGGAGCGGACCCAGATTCTCGAGGTCCTTTCCCCGCCGTGGCGCACTGATATCGTAGGGTGTTCGCCTCGTGATGGACCATTACTGAGAGTTTTTACAGTACCGCGATATAATTCACGCATTGCAGAAACGTTGGTACAACCTCCTCTCCGACAAACAGAAAGAGGCTATCAAATACAACCGTGTCTATACTGATCGTGCCTCATCTCGAATTCCGATTTACGCCCCATACAACTTCGGTTTCACGCAGGACTGGGTCAAACGGAACGCAACCAACTCCGAGATGCGTCGTATGCTGAAGGATTGGGGTAATCATTCGGAACCCGTTGATTTGACTCTGTTGTTGGCAGCGTCCCGTGACGGTGTAGAGAACCAGGGACAGTAGATAGGTTTTTGCGCTGTCGTTCCCTTTATAGAATCAGTTCGTCGTGAAATATTATTCGAACTTTACTGAGATTCCGGATTTGGCCAGGATAAAACATGGGCAAACAACCCTTCTTATCGGTTCCTTATCAGTCACAACTTGGCCATAGTGTCGATTATGGCTCGGCAAATAACAGTTATTAGAAAGAGCCCTGGCGCAACATCGACATAGGCTGTGTCCTCGGAGGAGGCAAACCTCTGCCTCCGCCTATACCGACCTGTGCATCCGCACCTTGGCAAACCCTCTGCCTCCGGGGGGGCGGAACGCAGTGTATGTGGGATCCGGGAATCGAACCCTTTGGCTGCAGACCTGATACTTCAAATATGTAACTCGAGGCAGCTATGTCCATACCACACCGCATATATTCCTACTCGTGAACCTAGTAAGGTGGGCAGTATTCCGTCGACTCTGATTCCAATTAGATTCGAACGCCGATGAAAGACAGGCACAGCGGAGGAAAATGTGCTCGCATTCATGGATGGACACTACATTTGCCGCAGCAAGAAGCATTCATTTGAGGTATATTTGAGGTATATTCGAAGCATAAACCAGCACCGGAGGTAGCAAGATGAACAAGCAAAACCAGTACTAAATAGTGATCAGAGTTCGAGTTCGTCAGCTCGTCTAAAAACCCCGTGAAGAATTTCCAGAAATGGCCATCTGTAGCGGCTGGGGGACTAATTGGTATGTAGAATGGCTTAGCTTCGAGAGTGGCTCGTCAGGAATGCAGAGGAACCGGCCGCCCAGCGCAGCAGCATTGGGATCGGAATCATCGCAAGCATAGAGAAGAGATCAGATTTTGAATAACCTACTAACCTACTATAGTCGCAGGCACCGAAAGAATGTGTTCGAGATCATCGCGAACTTGGTAGGAAGTAATTTTCCGGGGAAGACCCCCGTAGGCAGCGAGAACAAAGAATGTTCGCGCCGCAGGAGCATGTTGGGGAGGACAATGAAGAAAAGGAACGAGAGCTTGGGAGAGGGATACCAGCCGGGCCCGAAGAAAAAACGTGCCTTTTAATTGTAGCGCAAGGTTGGGCAGGAATGCGACGACGCCACGGTCCAACCCAAGGTCCAACCTACAACTTGAACCGGCGACCGAGCGAGACAATCTGGGACAGGACGGCACAGCGCCGCAAGAAGGTTTTTACTGTGGAGGGATTCGGAAGCACCAACCTCCGAGTGCGGCGGGTCCCGCGAAGCCTTGAGGAAGCCTACATGCGTCCGAAGAATGGGCTTGTATGTGCCCGAATAGAATATATGACAAGAAAGATGAACACGCACCTCCGGATTCGCTTGATGCATATGCAGACTTTCGCGTGGGTGTTTGCTTTTCACTCCTGAAGTTGAGCACGATGAATGATGATCTCGGTGGTGCTGACCGCCGAGTACTGAGCGGCAGGCAACACGAGGGCAAATCTGTGTCCGTGGCGGAAAAGGAGAGAGTCAGCGCACGCCGGGAGAAGAGGAGCGTAAACAACAAGAAATAAGCTTACGCAGGGAAGGAGAATGACAGATCAAAAGAAGGGATGCAAGAAACGCGCCCGACGAAGATGCATCCGATACAACCGGTGAGAACGCGATGGCGAGGAAATCCGAGTCGGGGATCGTGCCGCGCTCGGACACGGTCGCAGCAGCGAGTATCAAGAGTTGAGAGCTCACCCCCGCTCAATAGATCCACGCCAAAACCCGCTCGCTGTCCAATGGAAGAATGAAGTGCGAGAATCAACGAAAGAAGGGGAGACGAAAGAATGAAATAAGAATGACAGAAAAATATCGAGTAAGGGTAAGGATACAAGTACGAAGGACTTACCCGGGTCCACAAAGTCTCCCGTCCCGTCCTCGATCTGGTGCCAGTGTGCACGGCTCTCCGTGTTCACGGG